TCATACATACTTAATTTTAATTACACAAACATGTAAGCTAACTAATATTGTCAATTTCTCAGCCTACACATTCAGAAAACCTACTTTATTATATAACAGACCTTCAGCTTTAACAGACATCCCCTTGCCTGAATCAGTCCATTATATTGAAGTTTTACTCTACTATTTTGCAGACTGGACAGTCCATATCCTTTTGCGCTATACTGCTACAGAGAGCAGGAGAATTAATAGCCTTCGTGCAAAACTGAATAAACATGACAACACATTCCAAGTAAATACCAATTGTTTCTGTTCCTTCTACTTCATGGGGATGAAAAAGAACATATTTTGCATTTCAATAGCTGCATATCATAGATCAGGGTGGTGTTAATCTACTCTGACAAAGATACTCCATCTAGCACAACAGATACAAACAGGGCTACAACTTGGTTATGTTTGTGTTAAGTTTGTAAGGGGAATATAATTGAAACCACCACCAAGTCTTGCATGTTAGGGTTGCTGGAGACATGGGCTGTGGAAGAATTCACAAAGAAGAAATGCCAGTGAGGAAATTTATTTTACTTTCCAAGATAGAAAAGGGCCAAGCATTTATAGGACAATACCGGTGGTGAAGAAAGAGTGGCTTGTACTTTTAAAGAGCAAGCAGCTGCTGTTGCTAAGCAACAAGAAAGGGAGGGGCTGGGTTAAGTTAGCCAGATGCTGAGAGTTGCCTTGAAAAAGTTTGTTTGCTTTCCAGGAGGTGTTCAGGCAGATGTGCAGAGGACATGCCATATCAGCATCTTCTCATCTCTGTAAAACAAGCTTAGAACAAAAGTTATAAAGAGTTCAAAGGGGAGAAACCTGTTTGGAAAGAAAGGGAAAGGATGGGGGAGCTGACAAGGAGGAATTCTAATTCAACTTCTTGCTAACCAGCCTGAAACTGCTAAAACAGCAGGAGGGGGGGGGGGGGGGGGGGAAGAGTGCAGCCATATCTTATCCTGCTGTTTGAACAGAGGAGCCAACAATCTTGGGGTTTAATTACCAGCTGCTTCTCATAAATTATGGAAAAGCCACAGCAAAGAGGAGAGTCCTGTTTTCTGTCCTTTCATTGAGAGTGGCACTTTGCCTCTGATTTGCAATATTGTTTGTTATTTGCTATCTTGGTTGGTATGGGGTGGATGTAGGTTGGGCATGTTACAAGCTTATAGTTGGCATTTCCTACTATAAGAGCTTTTACTGTACAGGTCAAGGGACCAATGTCCACTGCTAAGCAAGTCCATTCCAATTATTTATTCAGGAATTGGAGGAAACGATCAGTGTGTGGTTCAGTAAACCCAAGGAACCTACTGTGAAAAGGACCCGGGCCAGGACTTCGTTTATCACCTGACTTTTATATTCTAATAAGGGGGCCATGGTGGCACTTCAGGTACCTGATTGTCAGCATCAGCTCTGATCCTGTATCTACCAACCCTTAAAAATTCTAGATATTTTCCCTTCCCCAGTTGCTTCAAGTAAATAACCACAGATCTCTTTGGGAAGTTAGTGAGAGAATTACACTTACTGTGGTGTTGAAGACTTGGACTCTCATTCAGCCACTGGGTTCTGGATCTGAGAAGTGGCTCACACCTAGAAGCTTGGCAAAGGATCATGTATTTACATTACGGCAGCTGACCCCAGTCTTCTGCTATTTCATATTTGATCACTTTGGATTATGTATATTAAGCAATACTTTTGTTGACTGCTCATCTATCTTGCTCCTAGGAACACCATGTTCTATTAATCATCTCCACAAAAAGATTCTTGTGGGTCAGGCCCCCTTGTCTCCCATTCCAACCTTGCTGCCCATGTAATTATACTCACCTTGCTTTTGAGAGTTAGGTGCTACCCAGCCTTTGATAGTCTGAGGTCCTCTTCACCACCTTAATACAAAGGAGCTCAGGTTTGTACTGGTTTATCCTACCAGCCTGTGAAGGATGCCCAATACTCAGCTCCTCAGTGATGCTGGTGCCTCCTCTCACCATTTCATTACTTACTGTCTTGATAAATGGAATGTCCTCCCAAAACATAGTCAGTTGGTAGGTTTTCCAGTCTTGTATCTTAGATCCATTCTAGCATGCCTACTTTTTTTTTTAATTTGAGAGAGACAGATTTTTTAATTTGAGAGAGATTGTTTCACTATTGCACTTTATGTATGCATTTATTGGTTGATTCTTGCATGTGCCCTGATGGGGAATGAAACCAGAAACCATGGCCTATTGGGACAGCACTCTAACCAACTGAGCTACCCAGCCAGAATTCATGCCTACTTCTTTGAGCCTTATATTCTTTCCTCCACAGCCTGATACAGCAGTTCTGGCACCTCTACTTCTTTAGTCTGTGCCACAATTTTTGCCAAGATTCTAAGAGTTACTCTAGCAACATATTAGATCTATTTCCCAGGGCTCCAGGGCCCTTGCCAGGGTGTTAAATCCTAGCTCACTGGTGACTCATGATCAACAAACTCTCCTTACCTAGTTTCATATTTTGTCACCTTGGTTTAGAACCCTCAGGATCTGTACCCAGCCGTTCTTTCCCACTTGCTACGGGTAGATATTATCCATGTCCCTCTCAGAGATCCAGCACTTGCCTAGTTAGATCATGCTGAAACTTGACCCTAGTTGTCAGGCAAGTGGTCAGAAGGAGTAATACAGGCAGATCCTGAAGATGGTACACATTTTTTTTAGAACACCTGCAATCATTTTAGGTTTTTGCATTGTCTTCACATGTGTGAGGAATTGAGCAGGGCTTTCTCCATTTTCCAATAAGAGTAAGTGGATTACTTCTACAGTCCAAGGGTGCTCAGAACATTAGGGTTCAAGGTTCTCTTGTGTATCACCCATGTCTCAAGATCCCACTACTTACCTGTGAAGGTCCTGACTTTGGGATAGGTGACTTACTTAAGCTGAGAATTCAGCCTTCTCTGAAGTTCTACAAATCTTACAGTTAAGTCTTATGCCTGGTCTTCATTTCTTTTCTCCTCTAGCTAAACGAGATGAGAATCTCTTTAAATGCCTCTAAGGAGGCCATCTGATTCTCATACTTCGCTCTAAATTAGTGATTGATTGCCCTGAGCTTGTCATTTTCTTTCATCAAAGCATCTATGACCTCCAACAATGGGTATCCAATACACTCCTTATAATTACTATTTCCCCCATATCTCTCAATGCCAGAAATATTACTTATGTCAGTGCCTCCCATACCCTTTATGCTGCCCAGGTTCTCCAGAGATGAGGGTTTTAGCAGTTGCTCAGCTACTGCACAACAGGGATCATCAGTTGTGTTACTCACGGGGGTTCTCATTGCCAGCTGAACAGTCAATGAGCCACCTCCAGAACTGCATCTTAGAGTCACTTTTAGGTAAATTGATACCAACTTTTTCATGTCAGGTGCCATGAAAACAGAGCCTAAGACTGAATTCTGGTGCATGTGATTTTTTAAGAAAATGTTTTTCAGGAAAACTTTTTTAAAAAATTATTTTGGAGAGAAGAAGAGAGGGAGAGAGAGACAGAGAGAGAGATATTGATCCATTGTTTCACTTTATTTAGGCATTCTTTGGTTAATACCTATGCTCTGACCGGGGATCAAACCCACAACCTTGGTCTATGGGTTTGAGACAATGCTCTAACCAACTGAGCTACCAGGCCAGGGCTTCAGAAATACTCTTTAAGAGAGTAAATAAAACAAGAAAGAGAGGAAATAAGAGTAAGATGTGGTCTCAGGTGAAACAAACCTTGGGTTGATCCACAGGGCACTCAGAAGTACACACTGTAGACACAGTTGTCCTGCTCCTGCAGACAACCAGGCCAGCCTTTGGGAGTAAAAGTGGGAGCTAATGGGGAGTGTGGGAGGGCAATTCTCCAGAGAAAGGGGACAACACACATAGCAATTGGTTGTTGGGTACACCAGCCAGGTAAAGGGGATCCCAGAGAGGTACTTATGGCATCTCCTGCAATTGTGATTGTTTTTATAATGTTTGAAAAATGTTACATATAGATGAGTTTACATATACCACTGTCTATAGAAACTTGGGGGTATAATTTCTTATTCACATTTCTGTCTCCAGTGCAAGATCCTAAACTGCTCTGTGGCAGGGACTCTGTCCTACTCATCCTTGCATTCCTAATTCAGAGGCTGACATTGAATTGTTATTAAATAAACATTTATCAAATGAAGAGGAGTTTGAGGTAGAACACAGAGCAAGTTGAACTCCAGGCTAAGTAATTTGGGCGTGATTCTGTTGGCAGATAGAAAGAGTTTGAAATGCTTGTTGGCAGTGGCGTGTAATGTGTATTGGACTTGGAAGAGAATGGAGAGAACAGCCAAGAGACTGTTGCAGCAATACACGCAAAAGCCATAGGAGGTTGAATTCCTGTGGAGGCGGTGAGTGTGGAGAGGCAGATGCAAAAGCCATTAAAGAAAAATTATCTGCAGTATCCAGATGGCCCTAGGCTGACTTCTAATATAGAGTCTTTCAGGGAGTTAATTAATCAAGTGAGTTAGTTTTGTACTTATCTGCCCCCAAGCAGATAGAAAACCATTTCTCATGTTTGCATGGAAAAAAATATCTAAATAATAAATCCATGTGGGTTTTCTTATTGTCATCATTCACATTTAGGCAAAATCCATGAAGTAGTCATAGGAATCTTTTCTTTCTCTCCATATTTTGGCCAGGATCCTACAGTTATATCTGAGAAAACCCAAGGTCATTAATGTGGAATTTGCACAATTCATTAGCACATGGAATACTTAAAATTAAGGTGGTTTCCAGGGACATTGATTTCAAATTAATCACTCTGTACATAACATATGTTCCAAAGCTGCAGACTGAGCACATTCTTGGTTGTATTCTGGACAGAATAATTTATCCATGACTCAAATGGATGATATATGCATCAGGAAATGCGTGGGTTTTTCCTTTTTCTCTGAACTCTTTCGGGCCTTGATTGTTGGCAAACCTTATGTATATTTCTCTCTGATTTTAGAGCTCAGTGACTTTTGGCCCCGTGCCTGCTGTTCACATTGTTTTCTGAAAGCCATTTCCCTGGGATGCTTGTTACATGGACTGGACCTGGATTTGCCAGTGTTCTCCCTGGGGCTGGCTTAAGATTTGCTGGCCCTGGCCGTTTTGGCTCAGCGGTTAGAGAGTCAGCCTGCGGTCCAGAGAGACCAGGGTTTGGTTCCCGCTAAGGGCATGTACCTTGGTTGCAATTTGTCCCTGGCCCTGGTTGGGTCGTGCGGGTGGCACCACTCGATTTGTCTCTTTCACATCGATGTCTCTCTCTCTCTCTCTCTCTCCCCCGCCCCCCCTCCCCCCCATCTGAACAAAACAACAAAAAAACAAAAAAATGTCCTCAGGTGAGGATTTAAAAAAAAAAAAAAAGATTGGCTGTCACAAAATTCCTTCTCCCATGGACTTTACCATGGCCATTTGCTATGAAACTCAGGTAACATTTAAGTCCAACACTTTCAGTCATAAAAAGCTGAAATACATTCTTGCACCAAATGTTTCCATCCCAGTCTTGCTAGATATGTTTATCATAAAATTATTTGCAAAAAGTAGAACATCTGGAGACCATTACACACCCAAGTGTTTCCTAAAGATATTAAAGCAACATAATGAGGAGCCATTTGCTACGTGCTTTATTCCAGGGAGAGAAGCTAAAGTTGGAGTTATATATTTAAGATACTAGGTCTAAGGAAGTGGTGATGGAATGTTTGTATAAGAATAATAAATAACTAAAATAACACAAATCTTGCCTCTCCTGGGATTTTTTTTCTAAAAACTTAATAAACTAACATGTGCAGAGATTCAGACTCAAGGGATGCAGAAGAGGTATTTATTTTCATTTGAATTTTCCCTGAAGAAGAGAAAAACTAAAAGCAGGCTACTCTCTTGCCTCCCACTGCCTTACTACCCTTCCTCAGCCTTTTGAGAAATATCTAAAATAGAAGAGAAAACAAATTAGAAAAATCCTTGATCTAGAGCAGTAGTTCCTAATCTTTTCTTTATGTAAACTTTTATTTGGTAATCTGAAAGCCCACAGACCATTTCTACTGAAAAATATTTTCTATAGCTCGGGGGGAAGGCACTCCCAAAGTCCCTCTAGGGACCACATTCTGTAAGTGCTCACTGTGTGTTACATGACCAGAGCTGCTGATTCATTTTGAAACTCTTGATATGATATAATTCTCTATTTCCCCCTTACAAATGAAAGCCATTTTGTTTATCTATCAATAATTTGTATCCAGAAGCTAAGCATGAGAAGAGATGTATTAGAAGACTAAAGAATATTCCTTTCCCATTCTCTCTTTAGTCTTGAAATGTGAGAAAATGAAATGCTATAAGAATAAGATTTGTGGCAAAATAAAACAGAGACCCTGTAGATATTAGTATGGCAGATAAGATGAAGGTCATTTGCATTATCTTTTTCCCACAGTACTCATGACAACCCATAGCCAATAGTTTCTAAGGCTTTGCTATTTGCAAAGTGCAACCTATGGAAGAGCCATTGGAATGTGAGCATTTACTTACCATCCAGTCCACCTAGACCTTACCTCTGCTCCACAGCGGAACCCACATCACAGCAGAGGCAGAACACTACCAAACACTGTGGTCACTTTGGTTATATAACTGTACTTTTTGGTCACTGAATTTTTGCTTTATTTCTTTTAACACAGAATTTTTGCTTTATTTCTTTTAACACAGAATTCTCACACCTATCTGTTTAGAACCAGATGTATAACATTATATAGATGTCTATTTTTCCCAGCCTTTGGAAGGAGGGTCTCACGCTCATTCACACATCCTTGTTGATTCTGTAAGTATCACAGAGCTTTGTGGATGCTTCCTTCTAAACTGAGCTCCATTATAATTCTACTTTTTTTACCCTCACCCGAGGACATTTTTTTCCATTTTTTGTTCAGATAGATGGGGAGGGAGAGAGAGGAAGAGAGAGAGAGAGAGAAACATTGACACGAAAGGGACACATCGAGTGACTGCCACCCGCACGACCCCACACGACCTATCAGGGTCGGGGACAAACTGCAACTGAGGTACGCGCCCTTAGCGGGAATCAAACCCGGGTCTCTCTGGACCGCAGGCCGATGCTGTAACCGCTGAACCAAACCTGTCAGGGCTATAATTCTACTTTTAAACTCTCTGGTGAAATGTGTCTTGAGAAGTGTAAATGTATTTGTGTCATTATAGAAGTCACCTATTCTCTATAAAAGTTACCTGATAACAATTGCAAATCTTACAGAATGACAGCATGTGCCAGTTAATGATTTGAAGTGTTTTATATATTTGATTATTTAGTCCGATGGAGCCAACAACTCTATAAGGTAAGTACTATTTTTATCTTCATTTGTAGATGACAGAACAGAGGCACAGGGTCACAGAGCTAGTAGTGAGGAGTCTGGAATCAGAGCTAAGCTGCTCGGTTCCAGCGCACTTGCTCTGAGCCATGACAGCATATTGGCATTACCAAGAGTTTAGAGTAAAGTCCTACCACTTTAATTATTAGTCCTTGCAAGTTCCCATTTATACATATTATGCTTTTATATTGTAATCAGAGTGCTCATAGAAGTCTGTATTATGGACATTTTTCACTTCACATTATATCATAAGCATTTTATGTTTATGTAGTCTTATTTTTAGAAACAAAGAATAGTATTTCTTTGAGTGACTTTTTAAATTTTATTTTTCAACTACAGTTTACACTTAATATATTTTTGTATTAGTTTCAGGAGTGCAGCATAGTGGTTACACAATCATATACTTTACAAAGTGATCCCTAAATATTTCCAGTACCCCCTGGCACCATACAGAGTTATTACAATATTATTGACTATATTCCCTATGCTGTATTTTACACCTCCATGACTATTTTTTTTAATCCCCACATGAGGACACTTTTGCATTCATCTTCAGATAGAGCGAGAAGGAGAGAGGGAGGGAGAGAGAGAGAGAAACATCGATGTGAAAGAGACACATCGACTGGCTGCCACCCACACGATCCCAACCGGGGCCAGGGACAAACTGCAACCGAGGTACGTGACCTTAGTGGGAATTGAACCCAGGTCTCTGGACCATGGGCCAACGCTCTAACCGCTGAGCCCAGGGCCCCATGACTATTTTTTAACTATCAGTTTGTACTTCTTAATCTCTTTACCTTTGTTACCTAGTCCTTCAACACCCCTCCTCTCCAGCAACTATCAATCTGTTCTCTGTGTCTATGAGTATGTTTCTATTTTGTTTTTGTTTTTTGTTTATTTTGAGTGACTTCTTTCAGGATCTTTCTCCCACAGAGTTGAACCACAGACAGGCCTTCCAAACATCTCACTCTGTGCACAACTTCAGACCCAGACTTGTTACTGGGCAAAGTTTGGCATTGAGTAAATTTATATAATTTAATTATCCATTCCTCTACCTATGAAATAGTTGCTTCTATTTTTCACTATGTATAATTGGTGCATATTTTTCAATATTTTAAAATATAGTCCTATTGGCCCGGTCAGTGTGGCTCAGTGGTTTGAGCATCGTCCCATGGACTGAGAGGTCCTGGTTCAAATGCCTGGTCAGGACACCTGCCTGGGTTGCAAGCTCTATCCCCAGCAGGAGGCGTGCGGGAGGCAGCCAATCAGTATTTCTCACATCGATGTTTCTATCTCTCTCTCACTTCCTCTCTCTAAAAAAAAATCAATAAAAACATATTTTAAAGGTTCTATGGTTCTTGAAATAACTTATCAAATTTATTTCTGGAAGCTATTCTCCAATTAATTTTCAGGATTATCAGTAATGTATAAAAGTACCAGTTTCGCCCTGACTGATTTGGTTCAGCAGTTAGAGCGTTGGCCTGTGATCCAGAGAGACCTGGGTTCAGTTCCCGCTAAGGGCATGTACCTCAATTGTAGTTTGTCCCTGGCCCTGGTTGGTCGTGCGGGTGGCAACCACTCGATGTGTCCCTTTCACCTCTCTCTCTCTCTCTCTCTCTCTCTCTCTCTCTTCCACTCTATCTGAACAAAAAAATGGAAAAATGTCCTCAAGTGAGGACAAAAAAAAAAATTTTTTTTTAAAGTACCAGTTTCATCCATTTTCAGCAGAATTGTATAGAATTGTTTGGGATATCTTTAAAAGTAATTTTGCATATAAAAATCAAATTGCTTTCTTTAAATTGTATTTTTAAATATTTATGAGAATCTTCTAATATCTTGATTTAATTGACAAGCAACAAACTACAAATTATATTGGAACACAGACATGTCCTTTGGTTTACATATTATCCATGTCTGCTTTCAAGCCAGAAAGGCAGAGCTGAGTAGTTATAACAGAGATCTTAGGGCCTCAAAGCCAAAAATACTTACTCTCTGGCCTTTTATAGGGGGTTATAGATTATTTAATTAGCTGTGTATCCATATTTTGTGAATTGTGCCTTCAAAGTTCAATTTTTCACCATTGAACATTTCAAATTTATACCCTGGAACTTTATTATTTCATCATCTACTATAAAATTCAATATGAGGCAGATATAGCTTTAGTTTTATTCAACAAATTCAGCTATTATAACATTTAAAAAGCCATTGTTTTAAGATTATTTTACCAAATGTATATTGCAAGATTTATCAAAAAAAAAAAAAAAAAAATGGAAGGAGGGAAGGGAGGGAGGGAGGGAAGGAGGGAGAGAGGAAGGAAAGAAACAGGACACCCAGTTAAATTCAGTGTGGTATTAAATATGTCCCAAATATTCCCTCAAACATTACATGACACATACTATTCTAAATAAAAATTATTCATTGTTTCCCTGAAATTACTTTTTAACTAGGTCATTTTTATTTTATATGGCAGTTTTAACCAAAGGTGGTCTAAAGCCTACACCTGGGGGGTGGGAGGCATAGAATATTGTGTTGAAGGTCTACCATATTATGGTAGAAATGAAGTAGAAAGTAAAAAAAAAAAAAAAAAAAAAACCCTCTTGAATGGGAAATTTAAACTATCATGGTCCCCCTAGCCACACAATTTATATTCTCTAATGGGGAGCTTTAAATAGAACTGTGCTCATGAACGAACATATGAGTTACAAAGAAAAAAAATCATATCCAACAGGTTTAATTCAAGGGGAAAAAAGCTAAAAGTTGGGAACTCAGGCAGAGTAAAGAAAGTTACAGGAAGAAAATAAATCACAAAGGGATGTTATTATTAATAATAATAGTCATGAAATTCAAATTTATAAGAGCCAACTCCTCACTTTAAATCCATATCCTAAATATTTCTGAACTTTGTAAACTCCAGAGATTATCAGTTGATGCTGTGTTAAATGCTTGCATCCAAATTATACATTCCTCACCTATCCACTGAGTGTGTATGGGCCAGGCCCTGTGCTGGTCCCTGGGGTGTAAAATATGATGATTCTTGCCCTCTAAGGGTTCTCAGCCTGATACAGATGATAGCGTGTAAACAAAATCATGGCAGTGATGTTTGATAGATATATAAATAGATTATATTGAAATTACCTTAATATATCCATTTGATCTGTTTTCAAGCAATTATTCTCTTATATAAATATGAAAATCCCAAAACCTAAATAAAAATTAAGAGAGTAAGCCAATCTTGGCAAACTGTCAGAAATCTCAGAAGAGGCCGTAGGTCGTGTTCTATGTCAGATTCCTTAGAAGCAGAAGCTGAAACAGGAACTCAGGCACACCTGATTTATTGAGGGCATGTGGGTGGACAGGAAAGGACCAAAGCAAGGATGTGGTCTCCACTGAAGTGTAGCTGCAGCCTGATCCCACAAGGAGCTCTGGATTACACCACAGAATTGTTCCAACTAGAGGCACAGTGGTGGGTCTGTGTGTACCCGAATCATTGGCTACAGGCTCACCACCCCAGCCCCCTGGCCCCCAGTGAGTTCATTAACTTCTGGACAAGGTGGCAGACTCCAGTTTTCTGGAGAAAGGGACAGCTATGAGCTATTCAATACCATAGCAGCTGGCAGGCAGGAAGATCTGAGCATGGTACAGTGTGCCTGACCCGGGATGTCCAGTAGGAGAAAACTGGTACACAGTTTATGATTACAGCCCAATGTAGTTATTTCCACACCACCAATTTTGCTGCTTGGGAAGATACTTGACTGCTTGGGTCTTGGTCCTTTCAAAGTTTATTATTCTCTGCAGCCAGATTCACATTTGCAGCAAAACTAAAATGGATTACCAAGAAGACCAGATGAAAGTTCTATTCATCCCTGGAGGCTCCTTCAACATAAATTCCTTTTGTTTGGCAAGCATAGTGAGACAGTTAGATTTTTTTTAGTCTCCCTGATTACATGATATGTTCTTTTATAAAAGTGTGTTTAGAGCCAAAAGTATATTAGGTATCCTAGAGTACAAAACTGCTATTCTTCTTTTAAACTGTGGAATGGACCGTACTTGTAAATATAAAGTGCTTAGAAGTTTCTAGAAGTGAGTCATGGCTTTACAAAATGCTACAGCTGACAAGGACTCTTGTTATTTGGTCCATCTGTTTGATGCCAAGAATGGCCAACTCTAAACTGGCTCAGACCAATAACTTTGAATAATGAACCCCTAGTTGGCTGCCCTGATCCCCAACCCTAGCCCATATGGCCTCCTTCTGCATCTCTCCCCCCTTGGTTTGTGTTTGGAGAAAGTAGAGTTATTTAAGTATCAACTTAAAGATACAATACTAGAAATATACATATATTTCCTATTGAACAAATTTGTATGCAGCACATACTATAAATTAGACACTGTGGTAAGCACAAGTATGAACAAAACAAGCACCTTCCCTGCCAGGCCGGGGCTTACTCTCTAAAGAGGAGATGCGGACAGTAACAGGACATGACATGGTGTCGGAGGCGCTGGGAGTTGTGAGAGGGCTTGAAACTGAAAAGTTCATGTGGTTCAAGCATTGGTTCTCAATGTCACCTGACCCAGCCTCTTCTTTTTTATTACAAATATTTTACAACACTCTTCACTATCCTGAATGAAATTCATAGGCAGTATAGCCTACCTGCACACAGATCTTCCAAGAATATCAATGTTATAATGCAAATACAAAGGAGAAATAAAAGCAAAGTTATTTATAAAGCAATAGTATGTACTGTAATATGTGTATGTACAAGCATGAATGCACAGAAAGCACAATGAAGTCCATGATGCTCACACATGTAGAATTATTATGTACATGACAGCCATGAAAGCAAGTGTGTTATAAACATGTTTAATGTGTTTTAAAAACATAGAGTAAGGCTTTCAACTCATAATTATAATCAAGGATTTCTTCTTCATGGATTTTCAGTGGAACATTTAAAACCTACTGTATAAGGCAGAAATGATTCTTCTTTTTGTGAGAATGTATAGCATTTTTTACCCCCCTCCCCCCCACTAGATGCTAGTAACACACCTCACCCAACTGTGGTGACATCCAAACCACTCCTTGGAATTTCCAAAATGCTCCCTAGGGTTCTTCCGTATTGCGAATTATGGAGCTGAAAGGAATGCATGCATGAATGAATGGATGGATGGATACGAAGCTTGGATTTTATCCTGAGGCAATGGGGATTATCTTGACAAATTGCCTTTTAAAGGATCACTATGACTGTGCAGTAGAATATTGATGGGGAAGGGAGGACAAGAGTAGAAGATGAGACATCTGTTGGGACATCTATTGAGCTGCCAACTATTGGATAATCTAGGTGCCCCAATTAGAAAAGTGACATGGGAACAAAGAGCAATAAATACATCCTAGACACACTTAAGGAGTCAGATTGACCAAGCTTGTGATGGAGTAAGAAACAATAACATATGCTGAGAGTACAGGAAAACCAAGGTTAGAGTTGGAGGAGCAGAGACGCTTTGAAATAGTCGTGCAGGGTTAAATTCCACCCTCAGGTGTGTCAACAGACAAATAGAGAAGGACTGGAGAGGGTTAAAGTTAAAGGACCATGGAATGCAGTTTCAGTATGGACAAAGAAAAAGATCAGAGGAGATTTACTTGTGCTACCAGGTTCATTCTCCTAACACAACCTGCTGAATTAAAACTTATTTTCAACACTGTTTTTCATTCATTTAAAATGACCAACTTGGTGAGATTAATCTTCTATACCAACACATTCTCTACTATATCATTTAAGCTGTAAATTAACTTTTCAACTAATATTAGGCTATAACTTAGATAAAATATTCTAAAAAAAATGTAATTGGAAAGCTTTTCTTCACATAGATGTTATAAGTGATCTCTCTTTGAGAATAAACTTATAATGCATTTGCCCCCATAATAACTGTATGAGCTAAGCCAGCAATTCCCAAAATGCATCTTGGATTGATTCTATGAGATGTTAGTATTATTTGAATATAGGACCAAATGGTTAAATAAGTTTGAAAATACTGAGTTTAAAGAGTATCTCTCTTGCAGGACTTCTCAGAGCCTTTAATATGTTAATCTGTTTTGTGAATTTCCAAGAGGCAGATATAGTTTGATGTAGACCACTTTCATAGGTAATTGAAAAAGACAAACTTTTAAAGAAGAATTCAGTGGAATTAGAGTTCCACAGTAGCACTATGGAATGCCCTAAGTCATAATTTCTTATTACAAGTAGCCTAGTTAAAAGTCTTTCAAATTTAAGACAAATTTATTAGCAAGCTAAAAATATAGTAATAGCCCTGGCCGGTTTGGCTCAGCGATTGGAGCATTGGCCCGCGGACCAGAGAGTCCCAGGTTCAGTTCCCCCTACGAGCACATACCTTGGTTGCAGTTTGTCCCCGCCCGGTTGGGGTCCTGTGGGTGGCAACCACTCTATGTGTCTCTCTCACATCGATGTTTCTCTCTGTCTCTTCCTTCTTTTCTCCCTCCCACTCTATCTGAAGATAGATGCAAAGGTGTCCTCAGGTGAGAATTAAATATATATATATACACACACACACACATAGTCATATAGTAATAAGGACAATAAAAAGAAACAGGCCCATTTATTTTCTTTGCCATTGGTCAATAAATAAAAATATTTAGATGAAGACTTCTTAAATAAGTTGAAAATCTTAAAATATTTAGTCATAAGCAATTCAAAGAACTGACTTCAGTCCCTTTTCAACCATTATTCGCATATATGGACCTGATTTTTTATAACTGGAATCTGAACAGTTATGAACATGTCTTTTTTTCTCATTATTTTAAAAACTTGGTCTTCTTCCCCAAATCAGTGCATTGCAGGGTTTCTGCAGCAAGCAAGATTTAGATGAATACCAGCTGCACACCTGTGTTGAAATTGCCTCGGGCCCTGGCCAGTTTGGCTCAGTGGTTAGAGCGTTTGGCCTGTGGTCCCGAGAGACCCAGGTTCGGTTCCCGATAAGGGCGCATACCTCGATTGCAGTTTGTCCCCGGCCCTGATTGGTCGTGTGGGTGGCAGTCACTCAATGTGTCCCTTTCACATCGATGTTTCTCTCTCTCTCTCTCTCTCTCTCTCTCTTAAAAAAAAAAAAGAAAGAAAGAAATTGCCTCGGAACCAGGGGCTCAAGTGCTCCCTGATGCATGTGAATGGCTTATAGTCAGCATGTCTGCCAGGCTGCACAATGCACAGTGAGTGAGTATCCATTTAGTAGGCGCTACTGAAGCACTGCACCTATAAAAATTCTTTTGGAGACATGAGTAAATTGACTTAATTTATTTTCATATCTATTCCAGACAAGCAATAATTTGCCCAATGATTAGGTACACTGAGCGGTCTGTTGATGTGTTGGGATCCGAATGTGCAATACAGGACCTATATAGAAAGAGGAGCCTTGCAGTAGCATTAAGATGCTAGATTGCTGGAACAATAGTCCTAAAAATTTTATATAGAATCCTGGGATTTTAGGTCTGAAATAAACTCTAAACAATTTCTTTCATCCTCAAACCTTCATTTAATACATGAGACAATTAGGGTCCAAATATATTAGGTAACTTGCCCATTGCACTAAGCTGTAGAGAAGCACTGTTTCTCACCCTCAGCAGTTTCCAAATTTTGGCCTGCATAATACTTTGTTGTGGGGATGGGGGTGGGGTCTGTCCTGTGCATTATAAGATGTTTAGCAACATCCCTACCGTCTCGCCACCTGATACCAATAACCCCTCTGCCCTGGTTGTGACATCCAAAAATGTCTCCAAACTGTGTCAAATGTCCCCTGGGGGAAAAATTCCCCCCAGTTGAGAACCACTGCTATAGAGTGACAGTTGCAATGGGAGCCTGGTCTTCCTAAATTCTGGGCAAGTGCTTTTTCCACCAAACTGAAGGACTATGGCTTTAGGGTTTCCACAATCTTATGAAAAATATGGAATAAGAAAAACCAAAAGTATAGTCCAGCATCAACATAGATCATCAGGAATTAAACTAATAATATCAATAATAATTAAATTCAAACAATTAATTATTAAAACATTTATTTTAAGCCTTTCAGTTAGGTAATGTTTATTGTGGTTTATATTTAAGTAATATTTATTGAGCACTTACTACATGCTAAACGTTATTCTAAGTACTTCACAGGCATTATTATCTTTAATCCTTATAATCCCATAATGTAGATCCTATATTATCCCCCTTTAACAGATAAGGGATTAAGGACTGGAGAGGAAGCAAATGAAAGAGAGGTGAACTAAAGCTACTAAGAGGATGAGGTGTTTCTCTGTCATTTCCTTCACCTCTACCTTCCTTGTTTTATTCTGTGGAGGCTGCAAGTGTCACCCCTAGGGGTCGGTCGAAACCAGCTGCAGTGCACTTGGAGGCCAGTGCCAGTGTAAGCCTCATGGTGTGTGCCGTTGTGACAGGTAAGCAACAGGAAGCTACCGTTTGGGGCATCATGGCTGTCACTGTGTGTAACAAAAAAACAGATGGCGGAAATGCTCCTATGCACAACCTTGGAGTTTCAAAGGTAGGAAAGTAGTGTGGGGAGTCTACAAGAGGAGTGGATTGGGAATTTGACTACATTACTCAAACTGTCTATATAGATAAAACGTACCGAAATTTTTTCTACCGTCCTTTATTCACCCATTCACTGGGCACTGACTGTGCAGAGTTTGTTAGGAAGGGTGAGTAACAATCAAATCATGGTCCATGCTGCTGGGATTTGCAGTCTCTATCAGATATGTGGCAGTCCAGGTAGGCTGTGGGAACATCATGAAGAGAGCTGGCTGTGCAAACCCACCTGTGTGATCTGGCCCGTAAGCCCCAGGACTGAAAAGGCCAACAGAATGATGGACTGGGAAGTTAAGAAAGGGGCCAACACTATGACCAGGACATTATGCTTTCTGATGCTGGGGTCATAAAGTCTCAGAACTCATTTTATAAGTCACCCGTTAATAAGGTCTTTGTCCGATGGCCTGGGGAACTGGCACCAGGCAAAGTGCTCGACCATTGTCTCCTTGCTCAGCCTTGTCTCCCACCCTGAACGGCCTGCCTCTAGGCTATAGATTAACTCCCATCTTATCTATTCATATTCCAGAGGCTCCATGCATAACCCCCGCAGGGCCAAACCCTAAGGGACAAATTCCAGCTGCAACAGGCAGATATAAAAGACACAAGCCCCTACATTGAGCACGGCTTCTAGGCTTCTAGGACTCGACCCCGGAGTCTGTGAACCCGCCCGGAGTGCACCCAATAAAGCCTAATCCCTGTTTATTCAGCTGATTGGCTTTCCAGTCTCTTCTCTGTTTTATTCGGCGGCGCCCCCGATTCCTTACAGTCTTAGATGGGGCTTCATCCACAGCTATCAATCCAGTTTTCATGCTGTCATGTCAGGGTATATAGTTTTCTGTTCATGATGTAAAGCATTATTGAAAACACTGTTCCCCAAAGAAACCTGCTTTAGGACTATAAAAACCACCAGGTACATTAATTCTCCATTCAGGTAGGAAAACATACCTTTTCAGTCATGATTCAGATAGATGGCACACCTTCCTAGTCATTGCCTATCAATAGCCCACCAAACAGCTTAGGTTCATCATCACTTTTCCTTTTTCCTTTTCTTTAAAAAAAAAAATTATGAAGTGCTTGAGATACACGAAGGGATAAACATAAAAGAGCAAACATTTCTTCCATGTAGCACCCTGTCAAACAAACAAGCATCACTTTTCTTTTCTTTTCTTTTCTTTTTTTTTTTTTTTTTTTTGTATAGGGAAGATCAGCTCAAAGAATTTAAGAATTTAACAGAAAAGAATTGAGCGCTTACCATTTTGTCCAGGAAAAAGAAAAATCTAACCATCTTGAGGGGTGCTGGGTCTTAGATTTTTTTTATAGTCTTGAAGTTTGACTCCCAACATACATGAAAGTTCATTGTTAAAGACACATTACTTGCCCTGGGTGGTTTTGCTCAGTGGTTAGAGCATCAGCCTGCGGACCAATGAGTCTCGGGTTCAATTCCAGTCAAGGGCATGTACTTCAGTTGCTGTTTGTCCCCGGCCCTGGCCAGGTCATGTGACATGGTGGCAGCCAGTCGATGTGGCTCTATCACATCAATGTTTCTCTCTGTCTCTCTCTCCCTCTCTCCCTCCCTCCCACTCTATCTGATGATAAATAGAAAAATATCCTCAGGTGAGGATTAAACAAAAAAAAACAAAAAAAAGACACATTACTTGTTCAGTTCCTCTGTATAAACATTTATCAGACCCAATTGTTCACATATTACTGTTTGTAGTTGATGAATTACTATTTAATGAACTTCTCATGGTACTAGCTATATGCCAGGCTCTGCTCTAGGCACTGTAGAGACTCACTCTGTCCTCCTTGACTGGGATCAGACGGTAAGGTAGAGACTACGAAATTAGAACTATGCCTCTTTCACCAGCATGCCACTTCCCCCCGCACAACATGCTACTCTTTGCTTCATCTAGCATGTCACTGCCATCCTCAAGACTCAAAGGGCACTGTATGTGACCAAATAACAGGACAGTGCCTCTTCTGGGAAGCAGTGGCTGGCCACCGTTGTGATGGGTGCCTGCAAGGCTCTTGTGGAGTTCCCAATTGCCGCCCTTGCATTTGCCATGCCTTTGCTGAGCTTTGTGATCTGGAAGCAGGATCATGCTTCAACTAGTTGTGAGGGGTTTACAACTGGAAGAAGCTGAAAGGTATAGAATTCATATGTTCATTTATTTATTTATTTTTTCTTTTGTTCTGATCTCATAGCACTCTCCAAAGGACCACCAAATAGAAACTCAACAGCAGAATGATTGCTTTGGGTGGGGAAGAAGGAGTGTCATTTCATTATCCTCTAAATCCTGTTATAAGCCAGGCAATGCCTGATTAAACCACTAACAAGCATTTGCCTTGTACCTTGCTTTTTATATTCCTGAAATAAGATATATAAATTAAGTGCTATTACATTGAGTTTAATGACTATACCATGGAACATTCCATAGTCAAAAATCCTTTTCCAGAGCAAATAAGCATCTTCTAAAATATTGAGTTTTCAGAGCTTCATGGTCCTAATGCATAGCAAATACATATTGACTAACATGCAAGCTTTGCCTGAGAACACTTTGGTGAAAAGAAATTGCATTGACAGATGCATCAATGGTTACTATGGAAATCCTTCTTCAGGACAATCCTGCTGTCCTTGCCCATGTCCAGATGTTCCCTCGAGTAATCAGTATTTTGCCCATTCCTGTTATCAGAATCCCTGGAACTCAGATGTAATCTGCAGTTGTTCTCAAGGTTATACAGATAGGCAGAATACTTCATAATGGTTTTTTTCCTTCTATTTCACACTGCAATCTGAAAAAATAATCATATATTAATCATTTATCTGCTTTGGCCAAGTGAGCATTTCAGAATATAAGTTAATGGTAAGAAGACACAATTTGATAAATTGCTACCTTATAAACAAAGAATTTGAATTATTCAGAAACCAATGACAATTTTTTTTTATCCTCACCTGAGGACATTTTTCTATTTTTTGTTCAGATAAAGTGGGAGGGAGAGAGAGGGGGAGAGAGAGAGAGAGAGAGATAGAGAAACATCGATATGAAAGGGACACATTGAGTGGCTGCCTCCCACACTACCCAACCAGGGCCGGGGACAAACTGTAACCAAGGTATGTGCCCCTGGTGGGAACCAAACTTGGGTCTCTCTGGACCGAGGGCCAATGCTGTAACCACTGAGCCAAACTGGCCAGGACACCAATGACAATTTCAAACCCATCCCACTGAGCTATAAATGTAGTACTGTCTGGAAAACTAACTGACCAAATAAGCTTAAAACAAATTAATTTCTTTAAGATAAAATCATCACATGTAAGATATATATGTGGTTAAGTAAATTTATGAGATATACATTACATATAACATAAGCAATTAAAAAGTAAAAGGATTTAACCAGTCAAATATTTTCTTTGTATAATTCTGAGCAATCAATTTGACTGGTATTTCACAAATACAATAAATTTTTTCAGAAGTCTGGAAGCACTGATTCAGGCATTGAATTGTGGGAGACTTTTTGCATGGCATCCATTTTGTTAAAATCTGCTCTGCCATCTCCTGCCCCAAGGCAGGATATCTCTGCATTCTGCATTTCTTTATCTCTGCATTTTGCATTTCTTTAAGTAACCATTTACTCAACAAGCCAGTCTTTGCTGACCTTTTGTTCCTCTTGTGGTATTTCCTGGAATTGCTTCGGGCAGTGGTGCTTGACAAAAGGTGCTCCCTGTTTTTCTTGCCCTATATATTGTGTGAATTTCCCTTGAATAAATGAGACTTGATCAGAATCCTGTCTTGTCTCCATTTCTCATGTCTCTTGTCCCTCCTCATCCTCACTCCCCCTCTAGAGTCCTCGTTGCTCGACCTGCGGGACGGGTCATTGAATAGAGACTGCATCAGTCCATTCAATATTTGTATCTGTTGCGCAATCAAAATTTTTATTTTTCATAGTTTAAGCATGAGTATAAATATGTTATGTAAACAAGGGGGAAAACTTATGAAGTTCACTTGATTTAATCACACTTAGAAATACGGTGCTCTTATTTTCTTCAGTGATAACGACCATCATGATAATAAATTACCTGGCTACCTGGCCAGTGTGTCTTAGTGGATTGAGCATGTCCCATGGACTGAGGCATCTCTTTCGATTCCTGGTCAGGGCACATGCCCAGGTTGCTGGCTTGATCTCCAGTAGGGGGTGTGCAGGATGCATCCGATCCATGTTTCTCTCTCACATCAATGTTTCTATCTCTCTCTCCCTTTATCTCTCTCTAAAACAATCAATAAAATTATTTACAAAATAATAATAAAAATTAAAAATAAGTTACATGGCTAATACTTTTAATATTTGTTACCTCTAAGATTACACATGTCTCTAGTCACCTCTTTTATAGTCTCTTCTCCCTGTTTACACTTTGGCATGGTTGACCAGTTTTTAAGAACTGAGACCATGATTGGGCTGCTAGAGCATTTCTAAATGGGATGAACCAAAGTGTGGCGAGTGGACCCACCGTTTGGGCACCTACACAAGTGCTGCTTCCTCATGGCTGGAAGGGTAAAGAGTATAGAAGAGAAGGGATGGTTTCTTTATACAGTGCTTAATAACAACACTGTCTTGGGCTCATACATCAAGGAAACTACTCTCAGCCATCTTCGCTTCTAGAAATATATGTCAGGCTGCTGCTCTTTCACCTCTAGAATTAGATGAGGGTTTGACCCTGGAGAGAAGAGGGGCTGAAATAAACTATAGTCCTGGAGTACACTTGAGCGACCCTAGTTCTATAAGAACCCAAGGGTCCAGTACCCATAACTCTAGGTTTTTAAGAAAGATTAGAATCCATTCTTCACCAAGGACAATTTAGCTCTGAATAATCATTTTATCCTCTGAATAAATAATAAATTAAGATAAATGTTTTGTTTTAAATTAGAACACATTTCCTTATTCAGCCTCAATGGGTGACCTCTCATTACTCCTAGAGGACCCCAATTATTCTCTGTTTATACCAATCTCCATCTCCCCTCTGCCAACACACAGACATACACACATCCCTCATCCCATTCCCTTTTTCTTTCTCCATCTTTTAGGTAAGCAGTGTGGAGAAGGCTCTGCTGGTTTCTGTGGAAATCCAAGAATTTCTGGAGCACTGTGCCAGCCATGTGCCTACAACAACAACATTGATGTTACCGATCCAGAGTCCTGCAGCCTAGTAACAGGGGAGTGTCTTAAATGTCTGCACAGTACTCAGGGGCCCAACTTCCAGTTCTGCACACCTGGTCACTGGATCAGCCCTCAATCAAACCTGCAGAAATAAGTATGCAAGGCTCCTGGGGTGGGGGTGGGGGGAATATGGAAGCTCTCCTCTGCTCATTTCAGTTAGGGCAGGAGGGTCAGCACCCACTGGGTTATGGGCTGGGGCACTGAACTCATAAGCAGAAATGGGTGCAGCTACAATATACTCACTGGTGTTATTAGTTTGCCTTTTCTGGCTGTTGCTCTAGTGGATTTTGAGCATTGCTTCTCAGTGTATGGTCCAAGGTACAGTGTACCAGAGTCATCTGAGATGGGAATGAGGTATTAAAATGCAGATTCCTGGACAATACCTCAGATCTATGGAACTGAATCTCTGAAAGTGGGGCCCAGGAATCTGCACTGTGACAAGCTCATCAAGTGACTTGAGATCATAAATACAAGAATCATTGATGTACAAGTAGATACAAGGTAATTCTTTTTTTATATATAATTTTGTAAATTAATTATTTTTGTAACAGATGTTTTTCCTTTTTCCCCCACTGATTCCCCCCTCCCTGCCCTCACTGCTCTATCCGCAGCTTTGTTGTCCATGTCCACTGTTCATACATATCTGCATATAAGTTCTGTGGTTTATCTACTCCCCACCCCTTCTTTTGGAGATTGTCAGTCTGTATCCCACTTCCACGTCTCTGGGACTACCCCATTCCTCAGACTGTTATGTTCATTATATTGAAAAAATAAATGAGATCTTATGATACTTGTCTTTCTCTATTTGGCTGTTTTCGCTTAGGATAATACCTTCCATGTCCCTCCATGTAATCTGAAAGGATAAAAGATCTTTCTTACAGCTGCATAGTACTCCACCATGTATATGTGCCACAACTTTTTTTATCCATTCGTCCACTGATGGACACTTGGGCTGTTTCCAGATCTTAGCTATTGTAAATAGTGCTGCTACAAACATGGGGGTACATATATTTTTTCTGATTGCTGTTTCAGGCTTCTTAGGGTATATTCCTAGCAGTGGGATCACTGGGTCAAATGGGAGTTCAATTCTCAATTTTTTGAGGTAACACCATATTGTTTTCCATAGTGACTGCACCAGTCTGCATTCCCACCAGGAGCGTACTAGAGTCCCCTTTTCTCCACACCCTCGTCAACACTTGTTGTTTGATAATTTGTTGATGGCAGCAATTCTGACAGGTATGAGGTGATACTTCATGGTTGTTTTAATTTGCATCTCTCTGATGATTAGTGATGTTGAGCATTTCTTCATATGTCTCTTAGTCATTTGTATGTCTTGTTTGGAGAGATGTTTATTCAGGTCCTCTGCCCATTTTTTAATTGGGTTCTTTGTCTTCCTTTTGTGGAGTTGTAAGAACACTCTATATATATTGGAAATTAACCCCTTATCGGATATATCGTAGGCAATTATGCTCTCCCATAGAGTGGGATGCCTTTTTATTTTGGTGGTTGTTTCTTTTCCTGTGCAGAAGCTTTTGAGTTTGATGTAGTCCCATGTGTTCATTTTCTGCTTTGCTTCTCTTGCCTTAGGTGATGTATCAGTGAAAATTCTGCTGCATATGAAGTCTGAAATTTTGTTGCCTACATTTCCTTCTAGAATTTTTATGGATTCATGAGTCACATTCAAGGCTTTTATCCATTTGAGTTTATTCTTGCGTGTGGTGGAAGTTCATGGTCTAGTTTCATTTTTTTGCATGTAGCTGTCCAATTTTCCCAACACCATTTATTAAAGAGGCTGTCCTTACTTCACTGTATGCTCTTGCCACCTTTGTCAAATATTAATTGAGCATATTGTCTTGGGTCTATTTCTGGGTTCTCTATTCTGTTCCATTGATCTATCTGCCTGTTCTTGTGCCAGTACCAGGCTGTTTTGATTAAAGTGGCTTTGTAGTATAACCTGAAATCTGGTAAAATGATCCTTCCAACTTTGTCCTTCTTTTTCTAGATTGCTGTGGCTATTCAAGGTCTTCTTTGACTCCATATGAACTTTTGAAGTATTTGTTCTAGTTCTGTGAAGTATGTCATTGGTATTTTGGTGGAGATTGCATTGAATCTATAAATTGCTTTGGGTAGTATGGACATTTTAATGGTGTTAATTCTTGCAATCCATGAACAAGTTATGTGCTTCCACTTTTTTATATCTTCCTCTATTTCTTTTTTCAATATTCTGTAGTTTTCAGCAAATAGGTCCTTTATTTCTTTGGTTAAGTTTATTCCTAGGTATCTTAATTTTTTTGCTGCAATGGTAAATGGGATTGTTTTTTTAGTTTCTCTTTCTGTGAGTTCATCATTGGTGTATAGGAATGCCATCAATTTCTTGACGTTAATTTTGTATCCTGCTACTTTGCCAAATTCATTTATTAAGTCTAGTAAATTTTGATGGAGTCTTTGGGGTTTTCTACGTATAGTAAGTATCATGTCATCTGCAAATAATGAGATTTTCACTTCCTGCTTTCCAATTTGGATCCCTTTTATTTTTTCTTCCTGTCTGATTGCTGCAGCTAAGACTTCCATTACTATGTTAAATAAGAGTGGTGAAAATAGGCATTCTTGTCTTGTTCCTGTTCTTAAGGAAATGCTTTTAGTTTTTGCCCATTGAGTATGAGGTTGGCTGTAGGTCTTTCATATATGGCCTTTATTATGATGAGATATGATCCCTCTATTCCCAGATTGCTGAGCATTTTTATCAGAAATGGGTGCTGGATTTTGTCGAATGCTTTTTCAGTGTCTATAGATATGATCATGTGGTTTTTATTCTTCATTTTGTTTATGTGGTGTATCACATTTATTGATTTGCAAATATTGTACCAGCCTTGCATCCCTGGGATGAATCCCAGTTGTTTATGGTGAATAATTTTTTGATGTATTATTGAATTCGATTTGCTAGTATTTTTTTCAGGATTTTGTCATCTATGTTCATCAGGGATATTGGTCTGTAGTTTTCTTTCTTTGTAGTGTCTTTTTCTAGTTTTGAAATGAGAATTATTCTGGCCTCATAAAATGAGTTTGGAAGTCTTTCTTCTTAAATTTTTTTATATAGTTTGAGGAGAATGGGTATTAGTTCTCCTAATTACATGTTCGGTAAAATTCCCCCATGAAGCTGTACGGGCCTGGGCTTTTGTTTGCTGGAAGAGTCTTGATTACATCTTCAATTTCTTCTGTTGTTATTGGTCTGTTCAAGTTTTCTATCTCTTTCTAGTCCAGTTTTGGGAGACTATGTGTTTCTAGAAATTTATCCATTTTGCTTAGATTGTCAAATTTGTTGCCATATAATTGTTCATAATATTTGTTACCAATCCTTTGTATTTCTGTGGTGTCAGATATTATTTCTCCTCTTTCACTTCTGATTTTGTGTATTTGAGTTCTCTCTCTTTGTTTCTAGGTGAGTCTAGCTAAGGGTCCATCAATCTTGTTTATCTTTTCAAAGAACCAGCTCTTTGTTTCATTGATTCTTTGAATTGTTTTTTTTGGTCTCCATGTCATTTATTTCTGCTCTAATCTTAACTATTTCCTTCCTTCTACTTGCTCTGGGGTTGTCTTTTTGTTTGCTTTCTAGTTCTTTAAGTTGTGAGGTTAGATAGTCTATTAGAAATTTTTCTTGCTTCTTGAGGTAGGCCTGTACTGCTATGAACTTCCCTCTCAGAACTGCCTTCTCAGCATCCCATAGATGTTGTGTTGTTGTGTGTTCATTTTCATTGGTTTCCAGGAAGTTTTTAATTTCTTCCTTGATCTCCATGGTAACCCATTCATTGTTCAATAACATGCTATTTAGCCTCCATGTTTTCAAATGTCTTTGCATGTTCTTGTTGCAATTGATTTCTAGTTGCATGCCATTGTGATCTGAGAAGATGCTTGATATGATTTTAATTTCTTGAACTTGTGGAGGCTTAGTCTGTGCACTAACATGGTCTATCTTTGAGAATGTCCCATGTGCACTTGAGAAGAATGTGAATTCTGCCATTTTGGGGTGTAATTCTCTGTAGATATCTATTAAATCCATTTGATCTAGCCCTTCATTTAGAGTCTGTGTTTCCTTGTTAATTTATTGTCTAGAAGATCTATCCAGTGATGTCAGCAGGGTGTTGAAGTCTCCAGCTATGATTGTATTGCTGTCACTTTATCCTTTGAAGTCCTCTAGATTTTTAATATATTTTGGTACTTCTATATTGGGTGCATATATGTTTACCAAGGTTATATCTTCCTGTTGGATAAATCCTTTCAATATTATGTCGTGGCCTTCTTTGTCTTTAGTTATCGTCTTCATTTTGAAATCTACTTTATCAGATATGAGTATTGCTACCCCAGCTTTTTTTTTCTTTTCGTTTGCTTGAAAGATTTTTTCCATCCCTTCACTTTCAACCTATGTGAGTCTTTTGTTGTGAGGTGGGTCTCTTGTAAACAACCTATATGTGAGTCATGCTTTCTTAACCAGTCAGCTACTCTGTCTTCTTATCAGAGCATTCAAACCATTCACATTTAAGGTGATACTTGATATGTACTTATTCATTGCCATTTCTATTTGTGTGGTTCTATTTTTCTTCCTGTTTCTTTTACTAATAACAGCAGTCCTTTTAGCATATCTTGCGGTGCTGGTTTGGTGTTAATATATTCCCTTAGCCTTTTTTGTCTGGAAAACTCTTTATTTGATCTTTTATTTTGAATGATAGCCTACCTAGCTGGATAGAGTAGTCTTGGATTGAGATCTTTGTTTTTCATGACCTTGATTACTTCATGCCACTCCCTCTGGCCTGCAGTGTTTCTGTTGAGAAGTCAGCTGAGGGCCTTATGGAGTTTCTTATGTAGGTAACCTGTTGCTTATCTCTTGCTGCCTTTAGGATTCTCTCTTTGTCTTTCAATTTTGGCCTTTTAATTACTATGTGTCTTGGTGTGGGCCTGTTTGGGTTCTTCTTACTTGAGGCTCTGTGTGCTTCTTGAACTTGAATCCCTTCTTCCTTCACCAAATTAGGGAAGTTTTCTGTCACTATTTCTTCAAATATATTCTCTAACCCTTGCCCATTTTCTTCCTCTTCGGGGATTCCTATGATGCAAATGTTATTACATTTCCAGTTGTCCCACAGTTCTCTTAAGCTATCTTCCTGTTTTTTAATTGTTTTTTTCTTTTGTTTTTCTGATTGGTTGATTTTTTCTACCCTGTCTTCTAATTCACTAATCACCATGGTCCTCAGCTTCCTCTTCTCTGCTGGGTAGTCTTTCCAATGTGCTCTTTATTTCTGCTATGTCATTCTTCATTTCCATTTGGTTGGGTTTCCATGTTTCTATATCTTTACTCATGGTGCTGATGTCCTTACTCATGCTGTTGGGCTTCCTCAAGATCATGGCTCTGAACTATACCTCTAATAATTTGCTTAACTGCATTTCATTGATCTCATCTTAGATAGAGTTCTCTTGTTCTTTCATTTGGGATTTGTTTCTTTGTTTCACTGTTTTGGCCATCTCGGTGGTTTTGGAGCCTGCCAATGTTTCCCTGTGAGTGTTGGTGTTCTGCTGTTTGTGGCTCCCTGTACTGGGTTTAAATGAGCCTAGGTGGACCCACGTTAAACACCACTGTCAAGTCTTACTTTCCTGGGTAGATTTTCAAGGCCAGGAAAGTTTCATTTACCCTCTAGCTTTTTGCCTGGCGGCTATTAGTATCAGTTATTTATGGCCCTATTAGTATCCGTTATTTATGGCCTTGGAATGTAGCCCTGGTGTTCTGCATAAGAGGATTTCCAGAGGGTGGGATAGATGCTGGTTGTTAATGAGCCTCAATTTGAATTTCTTTGCCTCACCTGGGAAAGGCTGAATCTCCAAGGTGGGGAGGGGGTTGCTGCTTTTCCCCACAGCTCTGGGAAGGAGCACACTGGCCATCGTCCTTTGTGGCCACAACTCAGCAAAAACTCTGAGTGCCCTCCAAATCCCGGGTGTCCCCACAGAGTTCCAGCCCAGTCTGCCCTCCCTCTGCCGTAGCCCCCAGGTGAGTGCCTATGGCTATTTTAGTGCTCTGTCCTGGCTTTCTGTGCTGTGGAGCGGGCTTGGTCTTTATTTTCCAAGGGTGCTGCTCACAGCTAAGACTGCTGCTGTCCATGGGCTCCCAGCCCGCCACCCTCTCACTCCTCCACAGATTCTACCAGTGTCCCTGGTTACATGGTCCTGTCCTGCTGCTTTTCTGTTGCTTTTTTCTGAGAATTTGGTCTTTATTTTAGTTGTAATTCCCATTTGGTCCTGAGAGATGTCTGTGTAGCTTCCATTCACTCCGCCTCCATTTTCACATTCTCTCTGCCATTCTTGTGTTCAGCTGGGTTGCACAGGTCTCTCTAGTGCCCCCACACCCTGAAGTTCTTGTCGGCAGGCAGCTGGATCATAGCAGTCCCTCTTGGACTCTGGCTTCCCACTGCTCTTGTAAGCTGCTAGACAGCACAGGCCTCTGTGGAGCCCCAGGTCCCGCTGCTGTTGGCTGGGGAGTGCTGCTGCCCCATGCGGCTCAACTCCTGCTCAGCTTTGCTCAGCTTTTTGTTTGTTTGTTTATCCTCCCTGAAGACATTTTCCCCTTTTCTGTTTAGATAGAGGTGGAGGGAGGGAGGGAGGGAGGGAGAGAGAGAGAGAGAGAGAGAGAGAGAGAGATGAAAGAGACACATCAAGTGGCTGGCTCCTGCATGACCCAACCAGGGCTGGGGACAAACTGCAACCAAGGTACGTGCCCTTAGCGGGAACCGAACCCCAGTCTCTCTGGACTGCAGGCCAATGCTCTAACCAGTGAGCATAACTGGCCAGGGCTCCTGCTCAGCTTTTGCTGTAGTTTTGGGGGATGGGTCTCAGCTGCTGGTCTGTGCTTCTGTTGCCTGGGGATGGATGTCTGCTCCCTAGCCTCTGTTCCTGGGGGTATATCTCGACTCTGATCGTGCTGCTACTATGGGGGATGGTGCTGGGCTCCTGGCTGTCCATGGCTTCCATGACCGTCACCTTGGGAGCTCCACTACTATGCACTGGTCTGTGTTGACACAGAGTGTCCACTGGTCCAATGGTGCCAGGTGTACTTGACATGAGGTAATTCTCAGAAAGGGGATAAATAAATTGCTCTTCTTTAGGAGATATCTTAACTATTTCAGTTCCCCCCAAGTCAATTTAGTAAACCATTTGTTTTCAGATCTTTTACATAAATGGAACTTTGGTGAAGAGCATGAGGGAAAAAGTGAAACTCAAAATCTTTCTCATTGTGAACTCTTCGAACATTGTAGGCACAACCATATAAAACTGCTGTTTGGGGAGATCAACAACAGTTGAATGGGTTCAATCTATTTAATCCTTTGATAAATTCTGTACTATTGTAAGGTGTTCAGCCCTTTGGAGAAATTATACATCCAGGTCTAAGAAGCTGTTTGCATGTTATAAAAGCCAGTGTCATCACTAAATTTACCTTCTATTATCTCAGGATGCTCCTGTCATCCTTCCGGTGTGAATACCGCTGAGTGTCCCCCTAGTTGGGGAGCTTGCATCTGTGACCCGACCACTGGCACAAGCCCTTGTCTGCCCAATGTCACAGGGCATACCTGTGACCATTGTACTGACAGATGTTGGTACTTGGTCCCCAGCAGAGGATGTCAGCCATGTGACTATGACCTCTGGACCTCTCATGGTAGCCTCAGTGACCAGGCAAGATACTTTAAAGTTACTAAGCTCATCTTGTCTTTTTCCTACCCCTTTTCTAGAATCAGCCATTTCAAGGAGTGTTATTTCCTTTTATTGGAGAATTATATTAGAAACCAAGATCTGGGTACCAGGTAACCATACTTTTTCTATCGCTCCCCTCCACTTATGCCTCCAACCACCAACCATGGAACAAAGTGGTAGATCTCACATGACTTCTTGGCTTCCTAATTCATGAGAAACTCCTAATGCTCATGACATCACTTTCTGGCATGCTTCTTAGACATTTGGGAAAGCATATTTTTAGTAGCACTCAACAAAGAGCACATTTCAATCATGGAGACTGAGGGAACCCTGTGAAGCTGAAAATCAGATGGCACTGGTTTAACCAAAGAGCCCCTTATGACATGAAGATTTGGGGTTGTCTGACTCAGGGAATTCCTAGGCGGAAGGCTGCTGTTTACAGTTGGGAAACACTTCCATTGGAGTACAGAGGAGACATGTGGACATTTAGATACTCAGCTGTTTACTATGATAAATGTCTCTATCTCAGCCAGTAGGTGGTCCCCAGTATATTCTTTCAGTGCTCTAAATGTGCCATCCAATATATCATCAACAGTTTAGGATGAAGTTGGAGAAACAGGCAGATATTTGTAAAGTTGTAAGCTAATGTGACAAAGAACAACAGACAAGTATCCTCACAGGCTGTCTTGTTGTCTTGAAACAAGATGAGATGTTAATAGGATACAAGCCAAATTTTGCAATTGTTTAAAAAATTTACATAAATAGAGGATGGGACTAATAACTTGGCAGCAGCTCATGTGAAAAACATCTGAGGATTTTCATGTGTGCTTCAAGTAAGCCAGCTTTGTGGATGGGTTGTCAAGGAGGTGATGCCCATTTAGGCTGGAGCACGGGGAGGACCATACCCAGGTGCAGGGCAGTTGTTGTCCTGTTGTCCTCTGTACTAGCCAGATGGCTCCATGAGCACTATTGCAGTTTCTGAGTACCACACTTTAAACATTATATTGACAAACTAATATGTGTCCAAAAGAAGACAACCAGGATAGTGGATAGAACCATGCTATTCTGTGATGAAGGCTTGAAGGAATTGGGGTGGTCACTCTGAAGAAGAGCAGCAAACACAAGTTGAGAATGACTATCTATAGTTGGGAAGAGGACTGTAAGAGAAAAGCAAGAGGCTGCCTGTTTTGTGCATCCTATAAGATAGGCCTCTGAACAATGGTAACAAGTTACAGGTAGTGAATTCTGCATCAGGATAATAAAGCATTGCCTAACAATCAAAGACAACCAGCAATATAATAGCCCTCAAGGGCAACAAGAGCCCTATATCTCTATATTTGAACAAAAGCTAGTGGTTACTCCAAAGATGGATAGCAATGTAATAGATGTAGTCACTTTTTGAATCAAGCTACTTATTCATTGGAAGCACACTGGTAGAGTTGTTGTTTAAGCAGATTTGGTCAAGTATAACCTAGGACCACTACAATAGTAATTTACTTTTTTTTTTCTTGTTAATTTTGCAATCTCCTGAGTTTTCAAAAAAAGCTGGTCAAGAATCTAGATGGGAGGGTACAAAAAAGTTCAACCCTGTCCCAAAAACACAGTTAAATAATTGTCATAAAATGATCAAACTTCAAGTACAAAAAAAAAAATTTTGTTGAGCAAAACACTGGCCCAACTGGGAGAAACTCCATCAGACATTCCATCATGGAAACATTATTTGCCAAATTAACTGATGAATGTTACTCCAGAACTTTATTCTGTCTGTGTTTGGGGAAAACTCCCATAACTAGAGAGGAAAAGAATGTGGCCTGTTTCCAATAATGTGTTTTGTTTTCATTTACATCTGTCTATGTTTCCCAATTTGGGGCCACCTGTCCTTGAACAGCTGGAAGCAGGCGGTATATTCAAGAGCCCTAAGCCAAAACACATTAACTCCTGATCCTTGATATTGTCAGGGTTGGTTGCTGGCCGTGGGAATCATCCTTCCTCTGACTTTGCACAGTTGTATGTTCTAAATCACTGGAGGGAAAACTGTTCTGTATTAAAATGCATTATTTTTTCTTTAGAATAGAAAGCTTGTCAATTCGTCACCCATGAATGTTTTCACAGGTTACAGGCCAGTGTCCGTGTAAATTAGGTTACGGTGGGAAATACTACAGTAAGTGCCAGAAAAATTGTTATGGCGATTCCCTGGGGTGACCGGAAGTATTGGTATTTCTGAAAACATGAGTACAGTCAAGCTGGTCCTACCACAAGCACGCTATGAAACAACTGAATTTCAAACTCCTTTATTTGGTAGAAAACTCACAAAGTTTAATTCCAGTTTTGAAAATAGTACTTTTTGTAGCCCTATAAAAATATCTTTTCTCCTGTATTAAAACTTTAGGCTATATTAAATGTTATCTTATATTCAAACTTGTAGCCTATATTAACATTTCTCAAAGTCATTAAAATGGAACAGACCCCTGAGGTCATGACTTATAGCTAATTTTCTGCTATTTGGAAGCATGTGAACAAAAATAGCTACTCTGAATTGAGATACAGGCTGGGAGACGGCTCACAGGAAGCCAGCAGAGGCTTCCTCAACATGGCCCTCTCATAACTCGGGGTCTATCACATATTCACTTATTCACTTACTTTAAAACATTCATAGAGTGCCTACTGAGTACTTTAGGCAGCGAATATATAAGACAAGGCCCCTAACCTCAAAGAGTTTGTGTTCTAGTGATTCTCATGCCTCCCTCTTAGCACTGTTTGTAGGATTTGGAGATGCGATGTCCAACAGAACCTTCTGTAGAGATAGAAATGCTGTGTGGGGCAGGAGCCACTAGCCACATGTAGCTGTTGAACATTTGCAATGTGGCTGGTGCAAATGAGAAAAAGAATGGTTTATTTTATTTTATTTGTTTAAATCTAAATAGCCACGTGTGGTTAGTAGCTACCATATTGGACAGCACAGGTTTAATATCTGGGCTCGATTCTAGAAAAAAGGATTTTTGCAACTCTATTTCAAGTCAGCTTTTAAAAGAAGTCAATCCAAAGAAATAACAGACATGATTGGCTTATCGTTATGGTCACCTCTATTTACATTGTAACTCTTTCTTTCTTTATAATTGTGCTTTTGTGGAAAAAAAAAAAAAATTCCTTTGCTTCTTTGTCCCACTCAAATATATATTCTGAATGGTTTTTCCCAGTCGCACTCAGTTTTCTAAGTGGAACTGCTATTTTATAGGCCAGGGAGGAATTCTGGCTTTTGGAAAATCTGTCTTAGAGAGCTTCTTTCTTTGTATCCCTCTAATATTTCAATAATCTCATTTTTTAAAATTATTTTATCTTTTATAGAGAAGACTTTGCAAATGGTCAACTCAGGCCACAGACCCCACTAAAACTCCTGGAAAAGAGCAGCTCACAAGGGGGAACCATGGCTTCCAGCAGGTGAAGGGACATATTGCCACCCCCAAGCAATTCCTGCTGAGACCTCTGGACAGATGTCTAGTTGAAGAGCCTAATATGTTAATTAGTTTTATTTGTAGTTGGCATTATTTTTATTCAAGCTGTCAAATGCATTTTTAAATCACTGTTCTCTGCAATTAGTCCAATTACATAGGCTAGTGATTCCCTGGCCTTTTGGAAATTGAAGTAATTTCAATGGCTCTCCCATCCTCTATGCTGAGGCTTAATCAAAAACCTGCTTAATTAAAGTGCATGTAGCATGGTTTTGTTTTTTTTTGTTTTTTTTATTAAGGCAAAATAAATTTAATTTTCTCCCTTTTAAAAAAGACTATTTTTAGAGCAATTTTAGGTTCACAGCAAAATTGAGAAGGTACAGAAATTTCCCATATACCTCCTGCCCCCATAGATACACAGCCTCCCCCATTATCAGCATCCCAAGTGAGTGGTACATTTGTTACAGTATATTAACCTACACTGAAGCATTATAATCACCACAGTTCATAATTTACATTACAGTCCACTTTTGGCATTGTCCATTCCATGGGTTTGGACAAATGTATAATGACATGCATCCATCATTATAGTAGCACACAGAATATTTCCACTGCCCCCAAATTTCTCTGTGCTCAGTCTATTCTACCTACCCCTCCCCATCCCTGGCAACCACAATTCTTTTTATTGTCTTTATAGTTTTGCCTCTAGAATGTCCTATAGTTGGAATCATACAATATATAGTCTTTTCAAATTGCATTCAAGTTTCCTCCATATCTTTTGATGCCTTGAAGCTCATTTGTTTTTAACACTGAATAATATTTTTATTGTGTAACTATACCACAGTTTATTTATCCATTCACCTACTAAAGGACATGTTGGTTACTTTCAAGTTTTGGCAATTATGAATAAAGTTGCTAAAGCACTTGTGTGCAGATTTTTGTGTGGACACAACTTTTCACTCCTTTGGGTAAATATCAAGTAGCAATCCCCCAAAACCCCTTTTTTTAAGAATGGGCCAGTTTTGCCCTGGCCGGTTTGGCTCAGCGGTTAGAGCATCAGCCCGCGGTCCAGAGAGACCCAGGTTCAGTTCCCGCTAAGGGCATATACCTCAGTTGCTATTTGTCTCTGGCCCTGTTTAGGTCGCACAGGTGGCAACCACTCGATGTGTCCCTTTCACGTCACTGTTTCTCTCTCTCTCTCTCTCTCTCTCTCTCTCTCTCTCTTTCTCTCTCTCTCTTTCTCTTCCTCTCTCTCCAAACAAAAACGAAAAATGTCCTCGGGTGAGGATAAAAAGAAAAAAAGAATGGGCTAGTTCTCCTTATGTAATGGAGGACACCATGAGTCAAGCACACCCAAACTGGGTTTTACTGAGAAAAGGTGTGGTCATGGGAATTCTTAGAGTCTTTGACATGGCTGAGTCACCCTTGCGGACACACTAGCAGTGGTCACTAGTGTGCTATCAATCATCATATTCATGTTTCTCATTGAAATAGATTTTTTAAAAATTACACACAAACACACAATTTAAAAAAAACTAATATTTTCTATAGCAAAACAATAACTCATTTGTTAGTGGAATGAAAAGAAGAATACTGTATTTTAATGACCAGTGCAAAGATGTCTGAAATTTTACTGGTTTTAAATGCTCACCTGAGAAATGGGACTTGGGGAATTCTCAGGAGAGCGGAGAGGTCTTTATTCTTGACCTAGTCATAGACAAAAGAGCAGGTGATAACATTTGTGTTCCTTCTCTCTTCCTCTTTAGCATGTGATTGCAACAGGGAGAGGACCCAGAAGCCCGTCTGTGACCTGGACACTGGCATGTGTCACTGCCGCGAAGGTGTCAGTGGCCAGCGATGTGATCACTGCACAAAGGGTCATGGCCAGCAATTCCCTGCTTGTCTTTGGAGTCACTCGTGCTTTGATCAATGGGACCATTTCTTTCCTCTCCAGAGCAGTGCAAGGGTTAATTAGACTGGCTGCTAACATGGAAGATAAAAGAGAGACCTTGCCTGTCTGTGAGGCTGACTTCAAAGGCCTCCAAGAGAACATGTCTGAAATAGAAAGGATTTTAAAACATCCTGTTTTCTCATCTGCGGAGTTCTTAAAAGTCAAGGATTATCATGATTCTGTTCAGCAAGATTTGTGCTCAAGCAACCGATAGTGAAGTTCCTGATTTATCTTAACTTCTACAAAGTTTTAACAGACTTCAGTTTAGAAATGTACTTAAATGTATGTTGACATTAGTGAAATAATAATTTTCTAGTTAATAGTCAGGCTGGTGATTATGTTTGTCTGTCTCTTTTTTAAAATAATTTTTATACTTTAATATACAATATTATATTAGTTTCAGGTGTCCAACCCAGTGGTTAGACAGTTATATACCTTACTAAGTGATCACCCTGATAAATCTAGTACCCATCTGACACAATATATAGTTATTACAATATTATTTACTATCTTCTCTATGCTATATTTGACATTCCAGTGACTGTTCTGTAACCACCAATTTTTATTTCTAAATCCCTTCACCTTTTTTACCCAGTCCCCTAACCCCATTTCATCTGACAACTGTCAAAATGTTCTCTGTATAAGTCTGTTTCTGTTCTGCTTGTTTGTTTATTTTGTTTTTCAGATTCCACATAAAAGTAAAATCAAATGGTATTTGTCTGACTTATTTCATTCAGCATAATACTCTTTAGGTTCATCCATGTTGTTGCAGATGGCAAGATTTCATTCCTTCTTTTTTTTTTTAATGGCTGAGTCATATTCCATTGTATATATGCACCACTTCTTTATTCACTTGTCTATTGATGGAAACTTAGGTTGCTTCCCTATCTTGGCTATTGTAAATAATGCTGCAATAAACATATGAATGCCTATGCCTTTTCAATTTAGTGTTTTGGATTTCTTCAGATAAATACCCAAAAGTGAATTGCTTGGTCATTCTCTGTCTCCTTATAGTAGTCTTTGTTTTAAAATCTATTTTATCTGGTATAAGTATTGCTACCCCAGCTTTTTTAAATTTCCATTTTCATAAAATATCCCTTTTTCTATCCCCTTTCTTTCAGACTCTATGTGTATTTCAATCTGAAGTGAGTCTGTTATAGACAACATATGTAAAGGTCTTGTTTTTTTATCCATTCAGCCACTGTATGTCTTTGATTGGAGTATTTAATCCATTTGCATTTAAAGGAATTGTTGAGTCCTGGCAGGTTGGGCTCAGCAGTTAGAGCATCAATCCAAGGGCATGTACCTGGGTGGCAGGTTTGATCCCTAGCGCATCAGGTTTGTGCTGGAGGCAGCCAATCAATGTTCCCCACCCCCCTTTGCCCCCCCCCCCCCCACTATATCTAAAAATCAATGGAAAAATACCCTCAGGTGAGAATTAACAACAACAACAAACTAATTGTTGATAGATATGTAATTACTGCCATTTTATTATTCATATTTTTTCTTTTCTTTTTCTTCCTCTTAAAGAAGACCCTTTATCATTTCCTATAACACTGTTTGATAGTGATGAACTCCTTTAGTTTTTTCTTGTTTGGGAAGCTTTTTATATACTCTTCAATTCTAAATAGCTTTGCCAGATAGAGTAATATTGGTTGTAGGTCCTTGCTTTTCATTACTTTGAGTATTTCATGCTAGTCCCTTCTGGCCTGCAGTTTCTGTTGAAAAAACAGCTGATAATTTTATGGGAGCTCCCTTGTAGGTAACTAATTGCTTTTCTCTTATTGCTTTTAAGATTTTCTCTTTGTCTTTAACCTTTTGCATTTTAATTATGATGTGTCTTGGTGTGGGGCTCTTTGGGTTCATCTTGGTTTGCAGCATCATATAAGAAGGTGATGGTGAATGAATATACTCACCAACAAGGATCATCCTTGTCATTTGTGGGAACTGAATGTTAAAACTGTACAGAAGTAGCACTGAAAGTAACCTTGCTGGAAGCAAATTTATTCTTTCTTTTTTTTTTTTTTTTCTTTATTGACTTTAGAGAGAGAAGAAGGGAGAGGGAGAGAGAGATAAAAACACTAATGAGAGAGAATCGATTGGCTCTTTCCTGCACGCCCCCCACTGAGGATTTGGCCCACAACCTGGGCATACACCCTGACTAGGAATCAAACTGGTGACCTTTTGGTGTGTGGTTTGATGCTCAACCATTGAGCCACATTGGCCGAGCTGGAAGCCAATTTATTCTAAATGAAAAACTCATCTTGACCTTAGGCTGGACAGGAGTTCTGTGTTGAGAGCTGAATGTAGATTGGCTCTCTTAGACTCATGTAAATGAGCCATGTCTGAATACATGTTTTGAAAACCCAAAGCAAAGGGAGACAGAGAATGTAAACAGTCGATATTGAAAAGATTCAAAAACTTTTATTCTACTAGACTATGTATGCTAATTATATTTGAAATGAGTGATGAAATATTCCAGAAAGCCCAATTAACAAGAAAGAAATAAGCCATAAACAGAATTATAAACTGACAAATGAAAAATGGAGGGTGGGGCAATCCATTGTAATTATGAGGTAATTGCCCTAATAATGAGGACAGTTTTCTTACGTGTGTTTTTCCACCAATCTATCAAATGTAATACAAACTTCACTATGTTTACTCTCATTTTCCCCTATGGGAAACAAATCATGCAGCTAAGTGAGCAACTGAAAACAGTGAGTGAATTTCAAGATCTAAAGGAAACAGTAGTAAAAGTGAGGAGTGAATCAGACCTCTTATTTGAAAATCTTCAAGAAGAAATTGCACTCCACTGCCCATAATGCAAGCATCATAGATAAGAGAGAAAATACACTTAACTGCCTGTTTCTGGACAAAAGTTTATAAAATCCATAATACATACCATTAGTGAGTCACCCTGTGCTCACTGACATAGCACCCAAGCACTTCAGAACATAAAACACACCCATTGAAGGTATTATTTGTACATGAATATTTCAACTTTTTAAACATTGTAGAATCTAGATAGCATTTGCTCAAAATAATGAATATAGCTAACAATGTCTGATACTAAACAAATCTCAAATAACCTTCTAAAGCCAAACCATACAAGTGGTCTTGTGAAATCAGCAACTTAGAAATTCTAACATGTATAAGGAAATAAGAGTCATCCTGAGTATAAGCCACTCCATTTTCAGCACCCATAAATGCAAAGAAATAAGAAGCAAAAAGGGCTTTCTTATAAGAATTTTGTAAGGGGTTGGAGTCATATAACATACTAGAAGCCCATAATTCATATTGCATAGTTCTCAAAAGTGAATGGGAGCTATACCAAAGCCAAGATCAACTTGAAGGAGAAATGGAACTCTGAAGCAAAACTTGGATTAGCTCTTCTCCTGATCTCTGATGAGATCTCTGTTACATTCGGAAACAGAAAACTTGATACTACAAGGAGAGGTAGCACTGAACTTATTTACATCTAACCCATCTATTGAGAGGTAAAGCAAAAATATACATGAAACCTACCTCAAGGCCAAAAACACTGTCTGCTTTTCTTTTCCCTATGTGTATGTTCTTGTTTTTCATCTGATCTTGACCTACAAAAGAAAAAAAAAAAATACATGACAGTTATGACTCTAAAGGAAGACCTAAGTTTATTTAAATGACCATTGATGATACTCAATAAATGCTATGTCAAGAGTGAGAAATTTGCTCTGATTCCTAATCTGGAAGACGGTTCCCAAATGAAAGAACTAAAAAATCTACCAGTAGTCAGCTAAGCCAGGTAGAAGAACGGAAATCTGCCCTCATGCTAAGCCTCTCAAACTTAGTCCAATAGCAGTTGCTGAGCTTTTTCTGCATGCCTGACACTGTGCTGGGGACTTGAATGCTGCAAGTCCTTTCCCTTAAGTTGTTCCAATCTAGTGGGAAGACAAGCATATAAACAATCACAAACAAAAAGACTAAATTAGAGCATCTTCAATTGCTTTAGGAACAGAGTAGTGAAAACACGAAAATGGAATTTCTTCTGAGTTATTAGGAAAGGCTTCAGGGAGTAGGTGACAATTGAATTGGGCTTCCCAGAATGAAACTATATTTTCCAGATAATGGAATGAAATTACTCCAAGCAATAGGAACATGGTTTGGTTTGGTTTCATGACACGTGAAAATCATGTATGTTAAGAATATGTTAGTGTAAGAACTAGGAAGTTTCAAAAGATAAGGTATGGTTGGTGCCTGGATTATGGCTATGTAGGAAGTAAAGAGTAGGACTCTTTCCTAAAATATGGAGTTATAGCTCAAAGCACAAATATACCACCACTTATATTAAAACATACCATATTGCCCTGGCTGGTTTTGCTCAGTGGTTAGAGCATCGGCCTGTGGACCAGAGAATCTCAGGTTCAGTTCCCACTAAGGGCATGCACCTTGGTTGCAGTTTGTCCCCAGCCCTGATTTAGGGTCATGTGGGTGGCAGCCAGTCGATGTGTCTCTCTCACATCAATGTTTCTCCCTCTCTCTTTTCTTCCCTCTATCCCTCCTGCTCTATCTGAAGATAAATGCAAAAATGTCCTCAGGTGAGGATTAAAATATATATATATATATACACCATTTTATTTTCATGAATTTGCATTTTAATAAAAATATGGAAAATATAGAGAAGTGCTTAAGGACATAGGTTCTATAATCAAACTACCTGGCTTCATTTCTTACTAGTAGTGAGACCTCAGGCAAATAGCTTATACCTCATCAGAGTCTTGTTTACTCACTTGTAAAATGAGAGTGATCATACTAATGCACACCTTACAGTGTTTTCTGCAGATTAAGGAAGGAAATCGATAGGAAGTACAGGCATATAGGAAGTACTCAACAAATGTGAGCTATTGTAATCAAGCTAACATCAGAGGTCAGTAAAAGATAGTCTACCAGAAAGTACTACCCACAGATTGTTTTGGGGAATAAAGTTTCATTCAAAGACAACCTCACCTATATATGTATTGTCTTCTGCTGCTTTCACACAACAATGACAGAGTTGCATCGTCGTAACAGAAACATTATGGCTGGCAAACCTAAAACATTTATCCCCTGGTTCTTTGCAGAATAAGTATGTCTACTTCCATTATATAATTTTGTTGGCTTATCATATTAAGGTTCATAATTAATCTGTAATTAATACATTTGTGGAACACTTTACAAAATATTTTCATATCTTATTTAATCCTTACAAATTATTATCACCAACTTACAGATAAGGAAACACAATCTAATACAGCGGTTCTCAACCTGTGGGTCGCGACCCCTTTGGGGGTCAAATGACCCTTTCACAGGGGTCACCTAAGACCATCAGAAAACACATATTTCCGATGGTCTTAGGAACCAAGACACTGTTCCTCTATCCATCTCCAGGCGGGTCTGCCCACATGCAGATATGCCCACATACAGATATGCCCAAATATGAGTACCCGGCGTGATGATATCATGGTGCCAACACCATCATATACACCTTGTACCAATAAAGGTGTATGTGACAGGGTTGGTGCCATAATGTACTTATGCAGACCAGTCACACATGTGTAGAGAGCAGCTATTCTGCTAAAATCAGCTACTGTGTTGAAAGCAGGAGTATTGGAGGTAAAACGACACTTCATAAATTATTATTACTGAGTAAATGTAAAATCATGTACTATAAAAGCATCAACTACTGCAAAAAAAAAAAAAAAAAAATCTGTACCATGGGAACTTAATCTGGATGCTGATCAGTCTTTTATATTCAGCTGTGGTTGATGTGAATACTGCCCCCTTGTGTTACATAGTAACAGGTATGTAAAAAAACAACACAGAGAATGGTAAATCATAGGAAACTTTAATGAAATGTATTGACCAAACTATGCCATGTATCATCTTTTGCATTAAAGCTATTGTTATATATTATTTTCATTAGCAAACCATCCCATGACAATGGATTGTGTAGAGAAGAACATTAAGAAAAGAAAATATAGTGAGGATTTTTTACAGTATGGTTTTACCTCAATAATTACAGCAGGAATTGAGAAACCACAATATGTCATTTGCTGTGAAGTTCTATCAGCTGAATCTATGAAGCCGAACAAACTAATATGTGATTTTGATAACAAGCATCCAAGCTTTGCCAGCAAGGATACCAACTATTTTAGAAGCAAAGCTGATGAACTCAAGACAGCCAGACTTGACACTGGTGGCAAGTACCACAAACAAAAGGTAGCAGCTATTGAAGCTTCATATTTGGTGGCACTCAGAATCGCCAGAGCTATGAAACTTCACACAACTACTGAGGATTTACTGTTGCCCGCAGCCAAAGATATTGTTCAAGTTATGATTGGAGATGAATTTGTTACAAAACTGAGTGCAATTTCCTTTTCTAATGACATTGTCTGCAGAAGAATCTATGACATGTCTGCTGATTTTCTTCATCAGGTAATCCAGGAAATTAACTCTGCTCCACTTCCAATATTTAGCATCCAGCTTGATGAATGTACAGACGTTGCAAACTGTTCACAGTTACTGATTTACATGAGGTAGATTAATGATGGCAACTTTAAGATGAGTTTCTTTTTTGCAAACCTGTTTAATCAACAACTACTGCACGTGATGTATTTGACACAGTTGGTTCATTTCTGAAAGAGCATAAGATCTCTTTGGAAAAGATTTGTGGTGTTTGCACAAATGGTGCTCCAGCTGTGCTAGGATGTCGATCTGGATTTCAACTTTTGGTACTGAATGAGTCACCAAAAGTCGTCAGAACTCACTGTTCATCGGCAAATATTAGAAACGAAGATGTTGCCACAAGAGTTACAAGAAGTAATGAAAAGCCTCATAAGTTCTGTCAATTTTGTAAAGGAAAACACTTTAAACAGTCAACTATTGTCACATCTGTGCAACGAGTGCGATGTGCTGAGCAATGCTCTGCTATTTCACACTGAAGTAAGATAGTTGTTGACAAGAAAAGTTTAAAAACGTGTTTTTGAGCTTGTGATAAACTCAAAACTTTTTCTAATCAGAAAGCAAGACTGCAGTTTGAAGTACTTTTCAGCGATAAAAGTAAACTGCAGAAAATAGCTTACTTGGTTGACATCTTTGCCATCTTGAATGAATTAAATTTATCACTGCAAGGACCAAATGCAACATGCCTCAATTTGTCTGAAAAGATCTGATCATTCCAAATAAAACTTCAGCTTTGGCAAAAAATATTGGATGAAAATAAAATTTACATGTTGCCTACCTTATCTGCTTTCTTTGAGGAACATGACATTGAACAAGACAAAAGGATTATGATGATAATTCCTGTGAAAGAACACTTCCACATGCTTGCAGACAAAATTTCATCGTACTTTCCAAATCTACCTGACAACCCATTTGCACTTGCCAGAAGTCCATTCACAGTCAAAGTTGAAGATGTTCCTGACACAGCCCAAGAGGAGTTCATCAAACTTTTTTTTTTAATCCTCACCCAAAGACGTTTTTATATTTTTTGTTCAGATAGAGTAGAAGGAAGAGAGAGAGAGAGAAATGTCAACATGAAAGGTACACATCGAGTGGCTGCCACCCCCCACGACCCAACCAGGGCCAGGGACAAACTGCAACTGAGGAATGTGCCCTTAGCAGGAACCGAACCCAGGTCTCTCTGGACCACAGGCTGATGCTCTAACTGCTGAGCCAAACCAGCCAGGGCTCATCAAACTTATTAATAGCAATGCAGCAAGAACTGATTTCTCTACAATGCCAGTTACAAAATTCTGAATCAAGTGTTTGTAGTCATATCCTGTTC